CTTTCGCTCTCTGCACCCCTGGAATATGTCATGGCAAAATTGAAGGTTCACACAGCGCCTACTTGTAGATGAGACAAGAAGACTAGTTCGATCCTTTGATGTCCATCAAAAGAATCTCGCGGTCACGTAAAGGTAAACATCGACAGGCTTTGAAATCAGGCGTATCTTCAAATGACAGGTATTAGCCTAGCGATTGGTCAGATTTGTTTTACCTGAGACCAATCAAACAGCTATCTTCGTGCCTTCAATTTTGCTATGACATATTCCAGGGGTATAGAGAGCGAAAGTGAGCGTAACCCCTGGATATCTGCAGGGGGCCAATATCGCTTCACAGTAACATGTAGGATACAACAGGCCTATTCCTTCGGTTGAGTTAATATACAATAACCTTTCCATAAAGACCAGCTGTTTTGGAAGGCCTTTTTTGCTCTCTTGCTTGTTGTTACGTACTTTTAACCGCTATGGTCATTTAAGGACGTGCCAGGCGTATGGTGGTGAAGGAAAACGAAGTATCCGGGGAAAAACACCGTCCAGTAACTGGCGAATGCCCCACGTAGGCCTGGAACCCAAGACCCAGAGAAAGAGAGCTATAGTGATCGTAGATGGTCATACGTCTTAACTAATCGCACCCCCTTCCTTTTCCTTGTCTTTAAGGTGAAAAGGAGATTCAGCCTCCGCTTATAACTGTATTAGAGTTGTCTATTGAACTTTACCCAAAATTTTCAATTTGTAATCTGCTGAAACCTGAAAAGGAAAAAAAAAATGACCTAAGCAAAACAATAATCAAATCGGAATTAAAAGTCGATACAAAAACCACCTGAAACCGCTGAGAAATTGAAACAAAAACATAACAACAATTAAACATGTAATCATCATATCCGTAAAGGCGTTTACTGTGCACCACGTAGTACCCATAATGTTGTCAGGTACAGGTCGATCACCGCTGATCTTATCAGAACAGAATTTAAAGACGCACTACACTTGATTTTCAGAATTTATAACCAATGCAGATGTTCACATGCGCTTGGATTTGCTTTCATGGCATTAGCAATGATTTCTAAAGGTACAGTGTTGGGTCTGAATAAGCCTTTTTATTTAAAACCCAAAAAACCCGAACCACTCAGTTACAACATGCCGATATGAAAGGGCATTGAACCGCTCAAATGTGAATTTGTTCAAGTATGAATAATTTAATGGTGGAGATCTAGAACGAACATAAATCATGGTCTGTAATGAAGCGCGTTTAACTTTAGATTTTTTTTTAAAGGTAAGAGCGGCAATACTGGAAGCCACTTCTGCTATACAGTAACAACACTGAGACGAAAGCAACGAAGATGACCGACGAGGAACAATACATATAGACTCGACACGGGTAGGATAAAAGAGATATGGCGATGATTTAAAAAAATGATCGTTTTGGGCAACGTATTACCAATACAAAAACATGTGGTCCTATAGCAGTGACTTATTGGACACGGATTTCATACTTTGTTTAATTGGGGTTCCTTTTGTTTTTTGCGTTTCCTCATTTCGTGTTGTTGTTCTTTCTTATCCGATACTTCAGTTGAGGTTGTGTCCTTGTGAATTGACGCATGGAATTATTTGTCAATGTGCATTGAGGCTGTGGTCTATGGTGCCCTTGTGTGGTAATGACGCCTATTGTGTGTCGATGCTTTGATACCAGTATATTTCACAAACGACGCTAACCCTTCCAGAACACCTAGCCGTATTATCAATGGTATTTTCCAGGGACTTCATGTGTAAATCGTCCCCTTGTGTATACGGTTGCCCTAGTTTCATTGATTTAAGTTCTATTATGGTTATGTTTACTCTTCACCTTAACTCTTGGTTTTGCTTTCTCCGTGAATTGACGATGATTAACATTTTTGATCCATTTTTACCTTAATACAGTACGTAAAAACATTGGCTAGAACAGTCGATCCGAGTCGAAGATCTATGGTAATTCAATAGGCGACATATCAAAACGTCGTTTTTAAAAAACATCTCTCCAGATTTGACCGATATTAACAAAATGTATCCATGTCACGTGGAAGGGAGGATGTGTTTATCGTAAACGCCAATAATACGACACCAGTCACAACAAATATACCGAAACATTGGTTCACACTGCATGTCTGTCGAGTGGGTACTGGCCGGCAGATGATTGTTTCTACAAGGATAGAAATTTGATCCATATTCGTCCAAACTAATAATTGAAGTGGGCACTGGTCAGTAGATGATTGTTTCTAGGAGGATAGAAATTTAATCCATATTCGTCCAAGCTAATACAGATAGCATCCCGAGGTAGTAGGCAAGCGACTGGTTTACATTTATACCGGACGTATACTCCCCTACCTTCCGAATCTGCAATGTACTACCATTGACCACCAGATCACACTGACTGTTGGTCAGGAAAGTTTATCTCTCGGAAACAACATATTGAGAAAGCTGCAATGACATTTTGACAAGGACCATTCTTAATGCTAACACTATCGTCTACAGGATGGTTCGTTTCACTGCTGAAAGTTATATTATAAAAGCTATGTGACAGTAAAGGAAAACCAAGAACCACAAGAAAGGAAAATATTGTTTTATTGTATAAAATGAACGTCTGTATAAATTAACATATCTCAGATATGTATTTATCAATGTAAAAATAATTCTTATATAAAACATAATGTTGTATTAGTTGATGATTAAAGAATAAGATGTGGACACTAGCAAAGATTTGACAATTAGTAAATTTCTAAACATTTTCAGGAAATTTAGCTTAAAAACTACTTTATAACCTCTACTGGTAAATCAGGATATCAAAGTACTATTATCATAAGAACTAAAAATAATGAATAGACAATTTTCAATGGAAAATAAAATAAAAATATCTTTCTTCATAACCAAATTCAAAACATTATGTTATTTTTTTAAAATAAAACCTTAATTAAGGGCATTTACTGTCACTATCTGATAAAGTTTTCTTTTTCATATATATAACGTGATACATTTTGTAGATACATGTTTCTATGTCGTTTTTATTTCTACATTTTCTTTCTTTCTTTTCAGGAAACAACAATACATGTACAATTGACAGCATAAGTAACTCCATTATTCTGTGAACATGAAAATGTAAGTATATTTGAACACTTATTATCTGTAATCTGCCATTAATGTTACTCAAATTGTCACTTTTCTTTGCAACAATATGGCGTGAAACAAAAGGTGTGGAATGCATTAAATTAAGGAAAATATCAACAATAATATAAATCATAACAATGAATAAACCCTCAGCGACCAGCGCCGAGAAAATATGATAGAACGACACTTTTGTATAAATACATGTAAAATGGACGGATTATTTCATCATTAAAATAATACATAAATCGGAAGCTAAGAGGATATTTCTGGATCAATATTCATTTATCAATTCTACATAGAAGTCTTGATAAACCATACCGTATCCGAGAAAAAGTCTGTATTCACAAATTTCTGCGTGAAAGCAGGAAGCATCAGTAAAATCTATATAAGGTAATGTATATTAAAATCAAGGAAGTGATATTCAGAGTATTTGTGTTAAATGTTAAGAAGTTTTCCTGTATTTGGAAACATTACACAGCACTATCAAAAATTACAAAAATGAAATATCTAAATTGAATAAGAAGTTCAATTAGCACTGATTGTGTACATTGGCATGTTTGATTATAATATCTTGATTAGCTGTAAGATAAATATCAAAATCGAAATATATATAAAAATATGATTAAAAAAACAGCGATTTCGGTTTCACCGGTATTAAGGTGGCTCCACACTTTCGCAATTAACCAGCAAAATTCGTTGAAACTTTCATATAATTGTTATGCAACTATGTCGAGTTGATTTTATGAAAATCTAAACATTCCGATAGTTTGGGGATTTTTTTGGAAAAAATACCAAAAAATTGAATTTTCGTCAATTCTAATATTTTCCG